CTCTGCCCACCGCGGGTATTGAAACTCGGGTTTCTACGGTTACAAGTCCTCAGACTTACCGCTCAGCCACTGGGGAGTCTTGGATTTATCAAACGAAGTGCTGTGTAAACTATTTCATACTCTAAACTTCATAACTAAGATAATAAGTATTATATATTTTATGATTTAATTTATGTTTAATTGCTGTGAAAAATTAAATAACCAAAATTAGCTATTTTTACTGCGCAACTAGCAAATTAAAGATGTACGTTAAATGTAGAGCAAGAAATAAAAAACATTCTAATTTTTATAAAAAGCATCTGTAGCGTTACAATTTAGGAAAATGTTAATAGCTAATTAAAATAATCCGAAATACTTTGATGACTGGTTCGAACCTTTCCAACAAACCACATATATGTCATTTGAAACATTTTTATTAGCAAGAGAGCAAATAAAAAAATCCCCATAACATTTGCAAAAAGAAATAATAAAATATAGATGAAATTGAGAACAATAGCTATGATTGAGTACATTTTTATTACAAATAAAATATTATTTATAGGATAATTATCCATTAAAGTTTGACTAATATTCCTCAATATGTACAATTTTAATAAGGTTCATTGACTTTTTTGATATTTACCTAATAACTAATGTAAAATATGTTTATATACAATAATGTAAGACTTGTTTAATGTATAGCATGATCAAACTAAAATAATCTAACAGATTCCTGATTCTATAGAGCTTGTTCTCACTGAAACAAATATATTTTTCTCCAAGAATATAAGCGTTTCCTAGTTATGAGCTTTAAATGTAACTTCCGTTCTTTCACCTTTAACAGCTCTCGTGATTTAAGAGTTTGACTAAATTTTAGAATATTTGTTTAAAAAGACTGGAATATATTTAACTAAAATTTCTGTCGTGATCTTTTTCCAAGAAAATGTTAAGGCAAAACTCTATAGCTTGAAGAAATCTATTTTACATCAAGGATCTAAAAACCTTCCTTCAACAAAATGAAAAATATAAGGGATTTCTTTTGAAGATATAGGCTTTGTCAAGAAAATTTATGGAGAAAGAATTAAATGTAAGACATATTACGTTTATTATATGTTTTTGTGACTTCTTCGTACTGATAAAATCAATACTTTTTGTAGACTTCGACATCATTATAGAGTTCTGAACGAATTGCCATCAACTGATCAAATAAACGCTGGAGATAACGAAAATTTAATGATAGTGTTGTTTTCTAGTCATTTAATCCGTGATAGTTTTCGTCGTGAAATTAAAAAATACCATAGTTGATCATAGTTTGAATTAAGTAATTTTTAGTTTAGGAGAAAAGTGTGTGGTGCAATAATAGTGGAAAGTTTTAAATTGATATTTTTATTCATATTTTATGTATTTAGACCTAATGCATTATTCCTGGTATTTTAAGTGATTAAAATTCATTTGTTTAAGATATAAACTTCTTAGCGATGTATTAAATAAGCATCTTTAAGTTCATTCAGGGCTATAACCGGTTCAGAAAATCAGGTTTTCTTCTAATTTAAGGGAATACTTATTCCATCTTTTATGCCGTTTGAAGCCTTCTGATAACGAGGTAATTAAACTAAAGGGTACTGTATTCAAAAGACAATGAAACTTTTACTCATTTCATCCATCGCCCTCTAGTGGAATCTAACCCTGTCATGACTTCATTACAAAAATAAACAAACTATTTGACGTCATGTTTGTCTTTCTGCGTTTCTTTTTTGTCTCTTCAGGATTCCACAGACTGTTACTGAGGGACGAAAAAAGAAAATGACAAAATTAGTTTCCAAAACCACAGATACAAGAATAATTTATTATGACGATTAAAAAAAAAAGTCTTGCTTTATTTATTTATTTATTTTTGTTAATGATTTTCTTGATTAATTTTAGTAATTGCTCCGTTGCTGTGAGTGGCCCTAGCTTCAAAAGTAAATAAATAAATAATGAAGCCTAAAGTAAATGTAAGTATTAAGCACGGTCTTAATTCTATAATCCAATATCTTACTAATACATATTTATTAGTGTTTTGCAAATTTTGTTTTTAATAAGAAATTGTCATGGCATGGTCTGGTAGTTAAGTCCCATGACTCGCAATCTTAAGGTCGCGGACTCGATTTGATTATTTTGTAAACATATTTCATATATACTATACGCATTCCTGTTTTGTTATACAGATAAAATAGATGTTCTTATCGCCCTCGAACCATCCTTAAAACAATTAGCAGTATTTCTTGTGATATGAAAAACTAGCAGATAACTGTCTAATATCGATAAACAGAAGTTAACAATGAAATGAGATAGCAGTACTCGTTTCAATGTGTTTCAAGTAGGAAGCAGATGGCGTGTTCAGTTAAAATAAATTTTAAAACGTATTTACAAATTTAGTCAGGGTAGACATAGCGTACAATGGAAGTGTTTTAAAAGCAAGTGAACATTCTTTTTGAAATATGTTGTGTTGTAAAATGAACATTTGCATATACAGTAAATAAGACTGTAATTCGCAAGTACTTCTCTAATCTAAGAAGTTCTTTGTGTAGAAGTGAAAAAGTTCAAGGTTAGCCATCACGCACCTATATCCTTTAACAAAAACTGGATGTATGCCAGGTAGATGCCTGTGTATTTTGTTATTACTTTCCGGTAATCAAAGTTGAGGGTATTAATCACCGGATCACAAAATTCGTGAGATAACCCATTATTCAATTTGAAGTATTCTCTTACAGTTTCGAAATAAAATAAAAAACTCAATAAAAAAGTAACATTTCAAGCTTATTAGTTACTTCTTCTGTAGTTTGAGTGGCTTCTAAGTTCCTTTACCTTCTGGTCAGGTGGATGTAGTGGCAGGTTCCATGCTTATTTATCCAAGGTCAACACGTTTCAGAACAGTTGGATATAGTAGTAGAAATAATAAAGCATCCAACTTAATTATATAAACAAAAATACATTAATCCACAATCTATCACTTTATCTGCTTATGTCAAAGCTTTATGGTGAAATATTTTTCCATTTGTTTCTATGTCATATTATTTTGAACATTTGTGCTTTTTAACGACGCGGTGTGCTATTAAATGTTAAAATACATCTAAGGTTTTGCCATGTAACATTAACGGTGAAGAAAGCATTTTATACTGGCTTATCCCAAGACACACTTTGTTTTGTTTTGCCAACAACATCAAAGGATCTTTAAAAGAAAGCCATTATTCTTAGAAATCGTTATTTAATTTGGAGATTACTATTGGTTGTTGCCACATGTTTCTTTTACAAACAATGTCAATATCTTTAGTATATTCTGTTTGTTTTGACACTGGATATGTAAAATATATTAACATATTGTTATATATTCCTTATTTTTACTCTAAAGTTCCTAGTATTTCGTTGAGTGTTGGTAAGAATATTTAATACATTTATTTATATTAATGCTCCTCAGTGGCACAGCGGTATGTCTGCGGACTTATAACGCTAGAAACCGGGTTTCGATACCCATGATGGGCAGAGTACAGATAGACCTTGTGTAGCTTTGTACATAACTAAAAACAAACAAACAAACAATTTATATTAATTCTAATTTATTGTTATACCTTTATTGCAGATTTATACGTGGATGTAAAACTAATACAAATATCTTCTAAATTCTCCGAACCTCGTAACATATTACTGTGTTTAAGACATGAATATATAGTTAACAGCGAGGGTATCCAACTGATACAACAATCTTTACAAGTAGAAACGTAAAAGCAGTATATTTTGGTAGCTGTGCTCATCACCGGTTTCATTTTTTACATCTTTCTTTCGATTTTACTAGTTTAAAGCAGAAGTTTAAGTTAACCATTGCTTTACCTGAGGTCTTAAAACAACACATCCAATTTTATAATCAAAATTTTATTTCCAAAGTTGCAAGCGGTTTCGTAATATTAATTTTCTCTAGGGTCTTAAAGCAGCAAAACCAAGTTTTTAATTTTAAGATAAACAGTATATGTTAGAGAAAACAGACAGTTTAAAATCGCTATTTATTTTTGTATTTTAGAGAAAAATCCTCAAAATCTACACCGTATTTACTTCTAACGAAGCAAACTGTCATCAGTTATTAAAAGGAAAACCTTTTATCTCTTGCCGTTAATGTGCCATAAAACCAGTTATGTTAAATTACAGATAATGATTGGCTTGTGTTTCTCCCTGGGTTGGTTGGTGTCTTTATCTAGTATAATTTTATCGAGTCATCAACAAAATTATGAACACTCAAACAAATTAATGTCAAATTTTAAATTTGCAAAAAATACCTCATTGATATGGGTAGACAGTAGCTGTTGTCTTGCTAGAGTGTTGCAAATAATTCAGTTCTGAAAATCATAATAATTCCATATGATATATTTAGTTCTAAGGCTTATTGAGATTGAAATAAATGTTGTATAATGATAAGATATTGTAAAGTAAGTTTATATATTTCTTGATATCGCACTTGTTTTTATAAAATATAAAGAACACTCGATTTCGAAACGCCACTCATGTGATATGGTATGTCATTTTTATTTAATTTAAGACTTTATATTGTTCATTCGTATATTCATGTTACTTAACCACTATGGGTCGTTTGTCAAAATTTTATTGGTAGAATAATAAAAACAGAAAATCAATGCGTTATCAGAGTGTCACCTTGTGTGTGAGCATACTGTTAGTTACAATGTCATGAGTTAACCATTTTTGTTCACGGTATCATATTTAAATATGTATATTACAAATGATAACACGACATAACAACATAATTGTGTGAGATAACATGTTTTATTTTGAATCGCATTTGTTGGAAACAAGTATTTACAAGTTAATGATTATATAAAAGTAGGAACAGAAACCAGAAATTAAATATCATGAAAATTTATTATTTTGTCGATTTTTATATCCGAGTAAAAGCAATAGAGATATCCAAACCTTTAAATTGATGTTTTTAAATGGAATAAAAACCTATTTGTAGGTTAACTTACAAAATAAAGCTATTAAAATTTAATTTACAAAGTGCTAAAAAAAAAGTAAAATAAACCATAAAACATTGTTGATTTATTTTAATGAAACAATTTTCGATAACGTTTCCATAGTAAGATATTTTTTAATTAATTCAACTTTTAATTACACAACGTAATAAACTTTGAGTTACAAAACTATGCTAACGAATGCATTAGAGCATAAACAGCAAATATCTCTCATTGACATTGTATATCACCATTTTGGTTTTGAGAATAAAACTCAGATGCAAAAAAAATATTATATTACGGTAAATTATAGTTTCTGAATTATTTCGTCAACACTTGTTAGAATAATGAACTACATAAATAGTTGTTAAAACGCTTTTTTTAAATTATTATCATCAGATACACTAATATGATTTGATTGTTCCCGCTGATTGTGATTTATTTACACAAAAATGTATTTTGATAGGTATCATTCATCATACAATCTATAGCTAAAAAAAAAAGAGACAAATACAATCATTAAAGTAACTAAATTAACTAAGTGCATTCATACAGATATGTCTGATAAATTTTAGAAACAATTATAAAATAATTTTATCATAAAGTTTTGTATTATTAAAAAATAAAAATTATGAACTACTAAATTTACCGACGAAATTCATGAATGCGGTGGTTATAAACTACTGATCTTTTATCAATTGAAAAATTAGAAATCACAAGTAAATTGCTGTAAGGGAAAACAATTATATAGTCAACATGTCACCATACAAGTTTCTTCAGGACCAATTTTATTTTATATTCTAAGTTATTTCTACATCTGAAAATAAGGTTTTTATCCGTACGTCCTTAATTACTCAAGGCAATACAATTTACATTAACAAACTAAAGTTCTATTTTTCTATATATTTTTATTTTTATAATATTGCAATACTTTCATAGGAAGTTGTTAAACTATTTCCAAAAGATTATATTAGAAAATCCATAATTTCGAACAAACATTAACTAACAAGGCACTTCAAAAATCTAATTCGTAAAATTTATCTTAACATTCTAAAAAATATTGAAGTTATCAAGATCGCTTATTCCAATAAGCCAATCCTGAGATGAACTGTACAAGGAATGCACTGAAAACCAAGAATGACAATATATCATCAACAGTTTTTTTACAGGGACTCCATGATATCTTTTTCAACTTTTTGCCATGTAAATTAAAATTTAATGTATGTTTAGAAATGCGAAAAATGCTAATATCTTTTGTTGAAACTATGTTGCTAAAAAAAATCAATTAATTTTCCAAATTATTCACTGTCTATTTTAGATACTCAGACAAATGATGAAACTTTTAAGATTTATGCTTCTGTTTCATTGAATGAGATACACGTTTTGAGAGTATGTTTTTAAACAAGAGTTTGAATTATTAGTTTAAATATGATAAGTAGGTTACATAGTAACTTGCTTCGGTAGACGTTAATATAAGACATTGTATTATTTACTAAGCCGGATGTAAAATTGGAAGAATAAAATGTTCACTTCTATAAATAAAATTATAAGTCGTACGGAAAAAAGGGTAAAAACTCACATACTTTTGAACATTCTAATATCCTCTAAGTATAAATTTAATTTGTACAGTATTTTTCCATTGTGCAAGAGGCACATATATATATGAGCAAAATATGATCAACACATCAATTCGAAATTATGAAAAAACACATTAAGAAAGATACAATTGAAACTACTCAAGTTATACAAAACTTGTCCAAGTTTCATGGTTTAAAAAGTTCAACTCTCTTTCTTTTAAGTGACAACCTACACTGGTTTCCTTTTCCCTGAATACTACTTCACGACTTCTCACGGCCTGAGAATATAAGGCAACATTTACTACATTTTAATCTTCCTTCTTTTTTATAGAAATGGCATCTTTCACGCACACAATACAAATATTCTGTTCAGATTTCTGAGATGATGAATTAACATATAAGAACAAAGCGATCAACAAAACCTTCACTACTTACAACGTATGTTCAGTTCAAAAAATAATTTAATCCTAAATAATGTAAATAAAAACAACAAATTTAAAAATGATATAATTCTGAATAATTCTGTCTATTAATAAAAACTTAATGCATTAGAATTTCAGCTACGTCAGAAATCCCTGGTTCTGTTCCTTAGTCGATGGAGCTTCCGTTCAAGCTCAAGTTTTTTCTTTGTTTCAGCTTTTAAAGTGTGTTCTAATAATTCACATGTACTGAGTAGTTCGTGTGCATATGTTGTTGCTCGTTTTAAGATCATTACTTTTGGGGCCTTGGGATTATTCTTTAGTTCAGGTACATTTTCTCTGAGAGTCTGAAAGGCGAAACGTAAATCATCTCGTCTTTTTCTTTCCATGCTGTTGTGCTCTTTTCTTATTCGGATTGGATCTTCAGAATCGGAGCTAGAGCGACTACTACAACTTCCCCTAGTCCTTAATTTATTAATCTGATCTTCCTCAAACTTTTTTTTTGACCGTCGTATTTTTGATGGTTGAATACATCCTACAATAAAACAGGAATCACTGTTACTGTTTGATAATACAAGCCGTTTAATTGCTTTTCGAGCAACCAGTTTCCCATTCTGAACAGAATAAGATAAAACTTCTGAAGCACTACAAACGTGTTTAGTTGGTTCTTTCCGTTGTTTTCCCTTGTTTTTGCATTTAATTGGCAAATTTTCAACAGTCACAACATCTATCTCCTCGCCTGAAACAGTAAATGAAAGCAATTAAATTTCGCACTGCAGAATACTTAAATCAAGCCAACAGTACTATAGAAAAAACAAGGAGCAAATATACACATCTAGGATTTTTCATTTGATTAAAAACAACTAGGATTTTGGAAACGTATATATCAATACTGCACACTTTGAAAATTAAAAAGGTTCGCATAAAGTTCCCTCTTAAAAGAGCACTAATAAATATTTTAGGATTTATGTATAGTTTCTCAATTCATAAATTTTCAATTAATTTTCAAATGTAATCATATCGGTTTACTATATTTAATATAGTTTCATAAGTAGACATAACTACAGCTTGTAGTTACTTAAATCGAATTCAGAGAATTTTGTTTTCCAAGACTGTGATGTCCACACTACGACATTTTTGGTTTTGATATTCCAGGACCTCTTTATTGGTCTTTTCAAACAATATCAGAAGAAGTTAAGAGTGAAACCGGGCAAGATATGGAAGTGTCTTATTATTATTGTTGCCCCCCAGTGGCACAGCGGTATGTCTGCGGACTTACAACGCTAGAAACCGGGTTTCGATACCTGTGGTGGGCAGAGCACAGATAGCCCTTGTGTAGCTTTGTGCATAATTAAAAACAAACAAATTATTATTGTTGTTCATTTTTCTTCTAAATTAACTTTATTTATCATTCATTCTGAACTGGTAAACCAGTAAATTAGTCTCAAGAAAATACAAAATTGTAATATCATTCAATATTAGTACGAAGCTTTCAACATCACTTAGAAATGTTACTTTTCGTTACTTATTAGTATTTTCCATATTCGAAGCTATTGTAGGGAGATTTGAATTTGGTTTAGCTAATAATGAGATAGAAATAACAGTTCTTATAAACAATTTTTACTTATTAAGGAACAAATTTCTAAAAGCAAGATATATTCTTAATTTGCCTGTTTTCTGTTTAAATTCCATTATTTCATTCGGTTTTTTACACTAGAGTAGCGTTATTTGTTTACAAAATATAGAAAACAAATTAATTTGGAGACAAAGTTATTTTTCATACATACAGATAGCGATATAATTGTCAATTAGAATAAATGCTGAGATCGATCGCTTTAATTTTTGTAATACGAGTATGTAATTAGAATATATTTGAACGATTACTAATTCTTATTGCCATAAATAGATTAGGAGTTTTCGTCAGTGAGATGTTTTATAGATATGTGACTTTCATTAGAAGATCATAATGTATCAGTCTAATCTCCTTGCCACTGTTCAGCAGCATCCAACAGAAGCCATTTTTCTTTCCCAGGTTTCTATCAGACAGTGCTGTCTGTTTACTTTTTTTTAAGAAGACCGAACAAGAAGATAATGGGATACCCATTTGTTTACTGTAGTCGGCTAAGCCTTTCAACCACATAAAAAACCTTTCAAACATCTTATTGTTAGCATATTGCTTTTACAAACGCAAAATGATCGTTCAGTAACATTGGGTTATGTTGTCTCTGTTTTCCATCCCATAGTTCTCCTTGTCGACTTTTTTTGAAAATATGTACATATATTCATATACTTACATGGTAATGAAGGAAAGATAATTATCACAAGATATTAGTTCAAATCTAACGACGACAGACAGAAATGGATTACAAAACAACTAGGAAGTTAAAGCATTTTTCTTAGAGAGTGATGAGATTTGCGCTGCGTAAGAGAAAATTAAATTTCTGAAACTTATACTGTAACCTCAATTTCTAGATCATCAAGTCTTAAAGAAGACAATGTGTTAAGGTGTTTAAATGGTGACTTTAAGCCGAAACGTCAAACTCTTATATTTATGATTTGTTGTTGTATTTTCTAATACTAAAAAGACAAAGTTAAGTTTGAAAAATAATAAATATCATACTTTATTTTCAAGAAATAATACTGATACTATATGAAAATTTTATTTTTTTCTTCTATCGTACTCATTTTATTTTCGTCTATATCATCATAATTACCTCCACCCAAAGGTAAGGATATTATTTCCACTCCTCTGTTTGTGTGAGTGCGTGTCTGAACAATATAACCGAAAATATTTTATCTGATTTTGAACAAATTAAGTCCAAAAGTTGAAAATATCCCAATTCCAGCTGAATAAAGTTTTATAAATGTAGCACAAAGATCAAACTTACATTGAAGGTCTATATCTTTCATTATAATGGTGCCATATTGGAATTTTCAAAAATGATCAAAACTCGAGAACAAGCTGAGATAGAAAGATCTTGGCACTTACAACCACATATTTTTGGGTGAGGAGTTTTTGATAATTGTTTTATGTTGATTGCTGCATAAATCGAAAACACTCCAGACGAGGGTTATATGAGTGCCTTTCCAGTTCAAAACAATAAAACAATGGAAAATTTCACCAGTGTTCAACCTAAGTGTCTCTACATAGTAAGTGGAATTAATACTAGAGAAAATAGATATATCAAATGTCGTCTTTATAAATGAGTATGCGTTTCAAAACTCAAACATCACGATTACTTTATGCTTTCCTTAAGATTAAGGTATTGTGTTGATATCATGTGTTATCTTTACTACTTACCGGAATCTGATGGAGTATCACTGTCAAGGTGCTCTAGACCAGGTGTTGGAGCAGAACAGTTAAAAGTCGAGCCAACCTGATGTAACTTTTTCGTCTTGTAATCATTATCGTGTGTTTGACAATGCTGCTGATAATAACTATGATCGTTACGCAAGGAACTCGAGACATAGGACAAGGTGGTTAAAGGATCTACAAATTCGACAGAATCGTCGTCAGTCAAGGACTCTAAATCTAATGCAGTAGAAAGACTACTAGGTGGAGAAGATGATATGGGATGGAGAGTTTTATCTATAGGAGCTTGACACTTATTTGTTTCTTTCTGCTTACAATCGTCAGTGCAACGACCAGACCACATGCAATCATGCATGAGGTCCACTTTCAGCCCATCTTTGGCCTTTGTTGATCCTACCACTCCTGGCCAAGCATTGAAAGCTCCAAAATAACAATCGAGATCTGAAATATTTTGAGACGGTAAAAAGTCACTGTCTAGTAGGTCCGTCACCAGTTGTAAACGTTCACATGCGCTAAATTGTTGATGATTTTCGTCGTCGTATGAAATGCATCCAGGTGAGCGCGGAGGCGTTGGAAGATCAAACTTCCTCCAGATGTTCTCGCTCGGAACTGTCGTGTTGTAGAATTCGCTGTGAGTTGATAGATAATTAAAACCTTCGTCTACGTTGAAGGGCATCGAACAGGCCTCTAGACATCTTTTAAAGAACATGTTTCCTTTTTAAACGATAACCTACAAACATTTGTAACTCTTAAGTATTTTCACACAATCAATCAGAAAACAATAGCTTAAATTAAATATGTTAAGAGACAAAATTATAAAAATAATAAAATAAATAGTTAAACAGCTATAATGACAAAATATCATTAGGAACTCACCAAATATATAATATCCTGGTAGTCTATTAGATAATTAAAATTACTAGTTCCGTCGGAAATGTAAAACCTAGAGTAAAATTACACAAAAATGATTTGCACAGCAAAGTTTAATTATTATATTAACCGATATCTGAAACCAATACGATCACTGTCAAATTTTAAGACGATTGTCCAACTGACATCATACTTCAAATTAACATTAATATTTGACCACCAAAATTATCCACAGACTTTGTCTTGATGACGTAAGTCACAAACTTCCATAACCTTCCAGTGATATGTAGAACATTCTGGGAGATAGTCCAGAAACTTTTGATTCTATTTCTTCAAAGTATTTTGAAATATGTTTATAAGACCGAAAGTTAACTATTTTAAAGTTTTTCTTAGGTACATTTTAGTTGTAAGTAACCTAAATTACAAGAAGGAAAACTTTCCTATCACAAAAAAATTACTAACTCTAAGAAGCTTTTATTTATAACCACTATATAAAAACATGTAAAAAGAATTTACTCAACATAGTAGCCTCGGGTCGGTAGCCATTATATTCACACTATATCCGGAATATTGTTTCCCCTTCTTGTATGTTAGAATAAATCGTATACCTTAAACTACAACCTGAACCTTTGTTAAGACGTTTATAGTTAAACTTGTTTCTGAGAGACAATGGTTTTTCGTTCACCTCATTACTATCCACTGGTGGTTTATTTGTCTGAAATTTAAGAGATTAGCCTTAACCTTTCCCTAAAAGAAATCTTAATCTAATGGAAATAGTTAATACCTTTTAACGTATTTTCTCTTGAAAAGAGAAGGGTAATAAGTGGAATATTATTGAAATTTCTGAGATTATCTGAGGATCAACTGGATAAAGATCTCTGATTCTTTGTGCTGTATTCTAAAGACAATAGGATGAGAGGCCACAAGTTTACGATTAGGAAAAGACAGGCTAATTATGAGAGTTTGATTTCTTTACCAGGGAGATTTTCTTATGGAATGAATTTCTGTCACGAATAGTGGAGGCCGGGACCTTAAAAGAGTTTAAGAGGGTGTGTTTAATTTTTACTTATTCTTCTTCTTGTTAGGTGTACCAAATGGTTCGTTGTTGTTCGTAGGTTATGTTACCTTAACTTATCTATTCCAAGTAATGAATGAAAAAAATTCGGAACTCTGGTCCAGTTTAACTTCGGAATCAAAATGTAAAAGAATCATTCATGAAATCATACGAGTCACACATCCAGCTTGCCCCCAATTTCTGTGAAAACTGAAAACCATATATTTTAGAAAAAACAATAGCACAGATTGTTATCTTTTAATTATAATTATTTTTATGTTACAGACGATGAGCCAGGATAGAGAATAGAAACATCAAATTTTCTAAACAAAATAGGAAAATAGATTTAATAGTTTGAAAGTATAACGAAAAACTGGAGTATGTTACTAAAGTCATCATTAGAAGTACAACAGAAATAACACGTCATCTTATAGTATTCAACAACAATTTCATCTTATTTAGTTTAATCTTATGAGCATTACCACTAAGAGAGTGCTAACGTTGTTCTATTGAGTTTTAAAGCAAAGCTACACAATGGGCTATTTGTGCTATGTCTTGCGAGGAGAATCAATTCCAGGATTTTAGCACTGTAAACTTAGCGCTGACCCACCAGGGGACTGATATAAGGAATAATTAATACGTAAATATATCTACCTAAATAACGTTTATGCAAAAGACTATACTTACTTGAATTTCAAAATAATATGAATAAAACTTAAGTTAGTCAGCTTATCAGAAAATGATAAATTGTTTTAAAAGAACTGTTTATAAGTGAAATTATTTCACCTTCCTTTATGATAAGTAACACTTGATCCTGTAAAATATTTAACAATTGTATTTTTTAAAATATAAGAACCGTACAAAAATAATCGAATTGCACGTTATAACTGTTGTTTATGTTTTATGTATAACTGTACATAAGTTGAGAAACGTTTTTATCATAACCATAAGTGAAACATAAGAGCTACTGCTCCCTATTTTCACACACTCTTAGGCATAATTAGGAATTATAAATTTATTTAAATAGATAAGTTATCTAATTTACACTATGATGGTAACTCTTGTGTGTTAAAGTCTTTTTTGTTTCTGTAGTAGAATCTCAGAAGTGTATTTTAATTGATAAAACTAAATTATATACAAGGTTGTTTAGGCCTAGAGAAATTAGTTCTACGAACCAAGCTCAAGCTTGAATCTATGGATTAGTATATATATACATACATTTATAATAAAGTATTTTCAATAAATCACCAATTAATGGCATATATTCTTTATCATGATAAATTCATTAATTAATAACATTATTGTTATTATTTTACAAATGGCATTTTTGAACAGTTATCGTCACTATTATTTATATGTGTGATATATTGAGACTGAAGCATTTCCAAACATGCATTTCGTGGTATAAATCAATATTAACAAATGTTAGTAATGTCTCAAACATATGCACTACTTTTTTACGATAAACTGAATAGCATACCAAGTACCATTTAATTTTTCTTTAGTGGGCGGTTTAAAGCAAGATTCTGAACGGACGGTTGGTTGCCCATGCAGTTACTTCCCTAAGTTCAAGGTAAGGCTCGCCCGGTCCTTTAACCCAGACGTAGGGACTACAAGGACACCTATTTACATCCCCATGGCAACAATGTGGCTCCATACCCACTGAGGGTTGATGAGGTAGATTTAAATGGCCTGTTTAGTTAGGAAGTTACCACAACTTTTAGAGGCTTCACGTTATACTAAAACATTAAATAAAGACGAAAATAAAATCTCAGAAGTATCACGACAGTAAGATTTCTGGATGGAAAAAACAAAATAAAGAATCGTCTTCTTGCCAATTTGTACAAATACTGAGAGTAACTACAAGCCTTCACAAAACAGGATAATATTATACAACGACTTCCTAACTTTCCTGTAGAATATTTCAGAAACAGGCTTTAAAATGATAAACCGTGATTCTTTACTTAATTGTCGACCTTTAGAATTTAAGGATTGCTTGTGCTTCTTAGTTACGTTTTCTAAATTAGACTCATACGAGTCATAGTCATACAAAATAGTATTTCAGATTTCTACTTCTACTTTAATATTATACTTTAGGAAGCTAAGATCAAAAGATTTAAGGATACATGACGAAGGGTATTCCGACATTCAAATATAAAACGGTCTATTTTTATTGCACTCATTGTCACAGTAAAATGTTCAATTTTGGCGACATGTGCTGAGTTATTGCGTTTACTTAAAAGTAAAAAAGACTGGACATAAGGATTACATCATTTTCATACCTTAGTTTTGACGTAGCTCACTTCTAGCGCACATTCTTGCTGAGTTCCTTTAATCTTTTCGAAAAACGAACGCAGCGACAGACTCACTGAACGTGTGGTTACATCATCCCCTCTCCGTTTGCCAGTTTATGTTCTCACTCGGTAAATACAATGAAGAAAATAAGTGTTTACAGTGTGTTCCTACGCGTTTCCTTTCTAACTAAACCTGATATTCCCAACAAAAACCTGAAACCAATGCCATTTTTGATCTGCAAGCTCTATACTCTAGTTCTTTTAACTTTTAAGTTTATGACTATATTCGTACCTAGTGTGATTAGCTTTAAAATACAAATATTTAAAGAAACTAGATGTTGACGCAGCGGTATACAAGTTTCGCTTATCAGTGAATGCTTGGTTTGGCGGGAAATAGAGTGAAGCAAAGAACACCTATTCAACCAATCAGTTTGCTTCTTTCAAACGCATTTTAAAACCACGTGTAGATGTGCTAAGAGCGTATGATGCAGCGTGAGTCTGCAAGGATACCTTATAACCAATTAAAATATTTTCAAAGCAAGACAATGATTATTTCCTGATATTAGTGTTTGCCATACAAAGAAAGAATTGTATTGAATCATAATGAATAATTTCCAATATTAACAACTTTGAGATTCGTATCAACATATATCAGTGTGGAATTCTAAGCAGTCTTATAGGTGCTAACCCTCATCAGGCTTCGTCAGTATTGGATATAGCACGCATGGTGTGGATTATATACCATTATACGTTAATCTTGACTTTTCATTCAGAAGTTTTTATTCACAATTATATACACACATGTACCCTTTTTAAACAATAAAGTGTTTAAGTACCGAATTGCTCATGAAACCATCACCCAATAACACACGAGTCAAGAAAAAAGTAAAAACAAATATCATCAATGTTATTATTTTAGTTCTGAGATTTCCTGTGAATTCTACATCGAAACCTGGTTATTTCACTGAATTTTGTGGTCTGTTACTTAGCTTTTTACAGTGAGTGCTGAAACAGGCAAAATGTGGTGCAATATGTGGACTTCACCTGCAGTGAACGATATAAAAACAAGTTTGTAATTTGAAGATTAAAGAGTAATTCTTGTTTTAACAGATTCACAGGCAAAGAGATAACTAAAGACGTCCTCGATTCGACAAGTAATAAGCTATAGCTTATTAGTTTAATAAAGAATTGCTTACACTTCTAATATAGACAAATTATTGTTAAAAACTGTGTTTATAAAGTGTGGAAAGTCAAATAATGTGATTCAATGAAAATCGATGTTAAGTGGATTCAGCAATGTTTTAATCATACAAATCTGGCAATTGTCTGTTGACAACACTTAGCGAAATGAGACTACCATTAAAAATCAATTAATTTCTATGCCATTTTTATATGTTATCATACATCAAGTGTTTCTATAACCAGCTTTTCGAACACGTTTGTTGCTTACTTTATTCCAGCTGCAAATATTGGTTTTAGCATTACATACCAAACCATCAACGAAAATATAACAACGCCGAATCAAGAGTAGAACTATAAATGATGGAGTTCAATAAACACTCACACAATAAAAACAGACATGGAAATACTAGAAATAGTTCTCCTCCTCAAGACAAAAGAAATAATGAAAATAGCGCCCATGTAACGTTATCTACAAAACATACTCGTAAGACTAACTGTTCCAAATGTCACTAGACAAAGAGTTGGAACACTCGTAGCGCAAACTTCAACAGTCATGGCCTGTAGGTGGCCAGTTTTAGGCAGACGTACAAAATGTTGTTGTATAAGTGGTTAACCGCTCTTTATGCGAACGACTTACACATGTTATACAATGACATGACGCCACAAGTGAAAGCCATGACACCACGAGCGACGCGTTTATATCCTATGCAATTGGTTTACCGCAAATTCCCAACCTTCCGAAAGTGCAAAAACTACTAGTACTATTTATAACATAGTGAATAATTTATGCAAGGGAAGATCAGCATACCTATATAAGGATGTAAAAGCACCTAAACAGCATCACATCACACACAGGATAGCCGTTGATACGATTGTCACAGTTCAGAAACTCCCTCACCAAGAAGATGATTGCTAACATGTTGCACATGCTGTAATCAACTGGTCAAAACAGTACTCACAGATCTTGCCCTAGTAAAAATCATAAGCCATAAAGTGAAGCTCGGAATTTCCTAATAATACAGTATCTCGTTTTACCTGAAGTATTCTATAGAGAATAAATAATCAAGATACACGTACAAACATTTGCAAAGAGAAACCTACTGAACCATCACTAGTTGTTAAACAAGCTATTTGACTTCATTAATAACATTACTTTGTCTAGCATAATATCTCAGGCGTTTCGTTTTTATGTTTTCAAACTTTATATGTCACGTGCTTAGCTATACATATCCATGTTATATTTTCATAAATATCTAGTCAACAAATCAGTAATTACAGGCGTTCTGTTTAAAATACTTCTTATATGATGTGACAATCTGTATTTTGAATCTTTTTTCTTTAGAGTAGCAACTGTATAATAAGTTTGAAAATTATATTGTTTACACTGTAATTGATAACTTGGGTTTCACATTCATGCATATGTAAATATATTTTATCCAATGATATAAAAAGTTAGAGTGATTAAAGTTCAAAAAGTACACTTGTGAGGGATAACCTAATAAAAAATACCAAATTATTAAAAACATATGTATGTAAGGAAACTGCATATTTTATTTAGAAACTAATCTAACCAGGTAGGAAAACAGATATTTTCACCTATCAGTAATTGTGTCCGGGTTTTTGTTTTTATTTGCGATAAGCACATCCGAGATGTTGAGAAACTGTAAATAAATATATTTTGTTAGATTTCAAAAACATAAACTATTCTAGTTTTTGCATTAAGTCTTTGCTTTTCCAGATAACCTAAGGTAACAAATAGCGAAATACATGATGTATGTTGACATATTCTTTTAATCGTATTTTGTCTGTTTTCAAAAACCAATCATATCTTTGATTTTATGCTATATATTTGAATTTATTGATACCTTAATGTAACAAACTGAAGAATACATATTTAACCTGTTATCTTTATTCGACTTTGACTTGTAATCCTATCAAGATTAAAATAATACATTCTAACATCGTACAAATAATACTTTATAAACATTTACAATTACAAGTTTAAACACTAAAATAATAATTAGTTATCTAGTGGTTTTTCATCTTCCTTATGTTTATAGCTTAGGCAGAGCGATTACATGTGGATTTCTATTTTGGAAAGTTTCTCGTTCGAACAGTAAATACTTCTCAGTATTATATTCTGTACGTATGTGTGTTATTTATTTACAGGTATACGTGTATAATATATATATATATATACACTATACGTGTGTGTGTGTTAGTTACTTGCAGCTAGACTTGTATAATATATATTCTATACGAGTGTGTTTATGTTACTTACTTACAGGTAGAATTTATAATATATATATATATATATATTATATACGCGTGTATATGTTATTTACTTACAGGAAGACTTGTATGATATATATTCTATACGTGTGTGTTAGTTAATTACAGGTAGACGTGTATAGATAGTATGAAAAATTGGACATAATAGAGACCAAACTCAACATTTATTTAATTGTTTTTGTTTGATGGCTAGCTTGGTATGGTCCAGATGTTTTGAAATTTCACACTAAATATCAGAAATAAAACTTTAAACGCCCAGAAGTGTTTTGATATCAGGCGAGAAATGTCCGAACATTGAGATTATGAAGTGTTTACTTAGATTTTTTTTACAGTGTACCACGTTGTTATTGACAAATTTCCTGTAAATTTCACGATGTAATGAATAGGTCATATCATTAAAAATGCACAGCTTACCATAAAATTAATGTTGAATCATCAGTAAACATTACAATGAAGTCGATATAACATACCAACCATAAAATACCGTAATGAATGTTTTAAGCAATGGCAACTTGACAGCCATTATTTTATCTTAAAGTTTACAGTGTACTTTTTAACAGGGTACAATGATCCATGATCCCAAAAGAACAAGTATCGTATTTCGTAGTTGATCAAGATGGAACATCTGAGCTTTCCAGACTTCTTGGTCATGTTTTGAACTGATAGAAACAAGCAAACGTTTCAGTTTATTGTTGTAAGTTTCTCCTATAGCTACATAGGTAAACAATATTTTAGTTTTAAATATTAACTATTGTTTAGTATAGTAGCACGAAATAGGGCGAATCCTATGTCTTTTGTCATTGCAAGTTTTTACACATTAAGGAAACTGAACGTTGTTAGGCATATCGTATCGCCTAGTTATCAAAATAAATGATATTGATGTACACTCGGTACTAATTATATTGCTTTCTCTTGGTGTTTAGATGCATTTTTATGTATTAACTATTTGAATTATAGGCCAAATTTTGAGTTTGGATATTTGACTCCTTATCTATGAGGATATTATTTCAATCAGTAATGTAGATTCAATTAATAACAATTTGATAAATATTCATATGCTTATTTGTCTTAAACTGAAAGATAACAGAACTAAATGAATTGTTTGAAAACTTGGTAAAACTGACTGTTAGTTAAAACTCCTAACGTTGCTTTGAAAGGTGCTTCTTTGCTCTTTTGTATCAGTGTAAATTACGATAGGTAACCTGAGAATACGGTATTTATTTTAACATTTAAAGTGAGAAAAATAATAATTTTAATGGTTTAACATCGTTTATAAAATAATTACTTGATATACATTAACTCATATCTGTCTTTGAATGCATATTGATCTTTTTTAGGAAATGTGTATCTCAATAATTTTAACTACAGAACTAGAAAAGCGTATCTTTAATTGTTCTTTTAAAATCACACTTAGCTCTGTGTTTGATCAATTGTAAACTGGATTGTTTACAGAGTAATACCGAAATAGGTTCTGTTATCACAGGAAGGCCATTGTGTGGATGCTGCAGATGAAGCACCAACAACGTCTTCTGTCAAGTGAAAAACACATTTATCATCTTAAAGTATCAGAAATATGAAAACAGGAAACAACTGGAACAAATATCCTGCACTCAACCGATAACTCCGAACTTCACCATAATTACACTAACTTCACTAAATATCAGCATCTTCAATCACTAATTAGGAAAGATAACACAATCATACCAAATCTTATGGGTTTTAGAAAATACAATGTAATCACATTGAATTTGATAGCTTTTAATCTCTAGTAAACTTAACTGTTTAAAAAGGCATAATCTTGACTTCGAAACTTGTACGTTATGACTATTCTTAAGCATAGCAATAAAACCA